CCTGAAGATGCGTCATCCACCGTAACAATTTTCCCAATGGGTCTATCGCTGTCTTCAAAAACTGTAGCGGCTTATGATCAGTTTCGATGTGGAACCGCCGGCCGGGTAAATAAGGTCTCCATTTGTCGATTGCCCATACCATTGCTAAATATTCTTTCTCTATCGTTGAATACTTTCGCTCTGTGTGTGTGTGTGTCAAAATCCGACTTGTATACCCAACGATTCCCTCCCCCTGTCTTAGGATCGCACCTATGCCGTAGTCACTGGCATCTGTGCACACTGTTAACTGTTTTCCAGGTACAGGTAACTTTAGTGTCATTTGTTGGTGGTCGAGCAGCTGTTTAATTCTGTCGAATGTCTTCTGCGATTCCTCTTACCAAACAAACTTCAATCACCTAGTAGCCTGTACAGAGGGACTGATATCTCATTGGAGTTCTTCACGAACCGACCATAAAACGCTGCCGTACCCAAGAATTGTCTCAATCTTCTTTTTGAATTCGGAGCTGGGATCGTCTTTATCGTCAAGATTTTTTCCGGTAGTGGTTTAATCTCACCATTTCCCACTTTATGTCTCAAAAGAGTAACGTTCTTTTTTGCTATCTGAGACTTGGTTTTGTTGACACGCAGCCCAAACTCTTCAATGCGTCACAGCACGGCTTCTACATGGTTCGCATGATCGCTTTCGTTTTGACTATATATGACGAGATCATCACCGTACACCTCAACGTTTTTCAAGTTCTTAATTATTAGCGTCATCAGTCGTCTGAACGTAACCGGTGCACCTGCTAGTCCAAACGGCATGCGTTTAAATCGATATCGTGTCTGACACATGATGAATGCCATCTTATCTCTATCGCCTGGTTTTATCGGAATCTGCCAGCATCCTGACCGAAGATCGGGAACCTAAAATAAATTGGCGCCTTGTAGGCGATCTAAAGTTTCTACTACTGTTGGCATGGCACATGGCCTCAACTCTATCATACTGTTTAACTGTCGAAAATCAACGCAGAATCTGCACTTCCCATTCGCTTATTTTACTAACAGAACTGGAGAAGTGTACGGGCTATCAGCTTCTTCAGTAATATCATTATTTAACATCTCTTGCACTTGTCGCTCAACTTCGCCTTCCAAATGACATGGGACTCCGCGTTGTAAATGACTTTGCTTTCGGATCACTTAACGGAATTTCATGATTCACCCTATTGCAATAACCGTATGGGTCCCCATTCTTGGTGAACAGATGGTCATATTTATTTATTTACTCTGTCATATTGTGTACCCTCGACAGTTTAACCACTACTATTTCGCTGGTCTCATGCATGCTGATAGGTTCGTATTTCGTGATCATAACCTTCGCTTGCTTGTCGATTGTCGCACTAATCTCCCGCAGAAAACCCGCCACAAGTATCGTCCGCTGTAATTCGGGTACAACAATGAAGGGAAACGTCACCTCGCAGTTGCCAACAACGACCGTACAGTTCAGTCTATCCGTGATGCGTAACACGTGCCCGCCTACCGTTTGTACTCTCAATGAACAGGGACTGACACTCTTACAAAATTTGTTATCTGTGAGGGACACAGACGCCCTCGTATCTACTAAACATACTACTTATTGATCATTCTTTCGCGACTTCGAATACACAGCCCCTTTCTCAATCGTCCCCACTACATCTAGTTTTATACGAGAGAAAGAACACGTATTATACGGTTTGAAACTTTTTCTTTTTCCTCTTTCTAGGCAGTATCTCCAGTGTCCCGGCTTACAACATTCAAAACATCGGTCTTTCCTATCACCCCACTTTAACGCCGCCACTTCCCACTGCAACGCTTCGGTTTTTTGCTCGTATTCGTTTGGTTTTGGTTGCTCTTTGGCGGCTACAGTTGTGCTCAGCAGCCGTCTGGTCACCTTCGTCAGCTCACTAATATCCATCGGCTGCACAGCGTTGACCAGTTGTAATCGTTCAGAAATGTGGTCTGGGACACTCGATGAACTGGGAACTCAGTAACTGTGCCTCTGATTCTTCATCCAAAGTGGGAAGCGTACGTCGAAGTAGAATCGTCAATTTAACCGCCAACACTAAAGGGTCTCCATCAGGTTCCAGCATCGTTGAACGGAACTGCTGCATTGCTAGCTGTCTGTCTGCTGCGCTGTCGAACTCCGACACCAATCGTTCAACCAATGTCTTCCAAGACGCTGTGCCATCTGACCTCTCTACGGTGTCATATGCCGCCTTCGCTTGGCCTCTCAACAGCGTTCCCAACACAACCACCTTCGCCGCCTGCTCTTCGACACCCACCAACTCAGCAACGGCTTCGAAGTCACGTAAGAAGCTCCGTATATCTCCTTCTTCAAACGCAGTTGGCCGTGGGATCTTCATTGTTCAGAGGCAGCGACACCAATTGTAACGACAGAAGGCAAGAGTCAGGCAACAGATCATTTATTATGGAAATCAACACATATTTAAAGATTTTCACGTACATTATTATGTATTACTGTAGGCAAACAAACACAGTCTTCTGATTGGTTGTTTCTCACTCAAAGTTTAACTTTCATCTATTTGTGGCTGTTTCTTGAGTGTCAGATCATTTATCTGCTAATTGTATCCGCCTACGCAAAGTCTGCTGTCAGTCTTTGTTCTTGTTTTCACATGACTAATATTTGGGACATAAATACTGACGTAAATTACTACCTACCAATTTGGCTAGCGGCCAGCTGTCACCACATATCCAATAAACAAGCAAATGTTCCGCTGGTAATACAGCTAGCATACGAACTGACATAGTTTGGAGGATAACGTCAACCAACATTCTCCAGGGGATAGTGAAATGATCAGTGTCAACTTTGATAAATATTTAATAGATGTCTAATGTCCATGTCTTTTCGAACTGCTTTCGCTGTAGGAGAAGTCTCTCCGATGGCTCTAATGCTTGCTGAATGACAGGACACAAGAGTGACATGACTAGAAGTATTGATTCACATTATATTGACACCTATGTGTAGACCTTTTAGTGCATTTATGGCAACCAACTGTAAAACAGATTATAAGATGGCTGTATCATTAACCTCATTATATTGCTTTATTGCTGGTTCACATGTAAATATTTGACGTTCCTGTCTGTCTCTTAATGTTCCTTGCACTGAAGTTGAGTTTTTGATTAAATACACGAATAATATTCTGTGATCTGGGTGATTGTTTTCTGGCAAGAGCAATAACTCCTTACAGATATAGTGACACCACACTGAAGTTCGTCTTCAGATCATCGTGCTAGAAAATCACTGCTTACACACATGTACAACAATCTTCCTAAGACTATCACATAAACTCCGGCGCTATATAAATTCAACCTCCTCTCAGATGTTCTTATCCACCAGGATTCAGTGGCCGTGTAATGAGAAGCGATGAGGCCACTCGGTAACTAAAAACAGCAGGTTTTCTAGCCACCACGATAACTGTTTGACTTTTATAAAGATAACCAAATAGCATGTTGTGTCTATCCAGCAAACGGCCTGTGATACATGCAGTGGTTATCCTCTCCTATGTCAAGCGCTTATCGTGAAACGTAGGACAATCTGTGCACAAAATTTGTCATGATCTGGTATCGATCCTAAACGGTTGTCAGGACTGTTTTACTTCTACCCTAGAAATAGCGCGTCAAATACTAGATTACTATGTAGATACTGCGGCTCAAGATACAGATAATGAGCGAAAATTTCCGGGAGCCAGTCGTCAGAAGCACAAGAAATCATCCATGTGGCAAGGATTATTTCGGATCAGTTGCTCGCCACCTTAACAAACAACTTACCACCGGGAGACACTCCACTCCACAATAAAGTAGATGACACCTAATCAACACCTATCACAGGTAGTTATATTCTTGAAATCAGCGTAAGCTCATATATTATTATTGATCCCACAAGTTTCAAGACTAATCTCGCCTAGTTTACAAGCTCTCTGGTTTCCCAGACAGCCTCAAGCCCAGGAGAAGAGGGAGCGTTTGTGGCGGACCTTAGACTTAGCTAGCTTAATATACCAGATTCGAATAGAAATAAAGAAATACAAAATCCGTACAGTTACTGGAAGAATATATTAAAATTTGTTACTTGGGTTATTACAAGGTCCAAAATCCACAATTAACTTAACAGACTCCAGAAGTATTGTAAGAAGACTGCTCCAATCTTAATTCTTCAATGTCGATATTGCCAGAGGTCGACCAAGTTAACGTAGGGAGGAATTACGGCGTCCCTGCGAAATTTTGCAATAGAAGATAAGTAATTAGAATTGGCCGATGGCAGTTGAGATGGTGGAGAAGATGGAGAGTTGAAGACAGAACTATATTTTCATTCAAAACGCGAGGCTAAGTACAAAGTACAGAGATTCTGGTTAAAACAAAGTGATATACAATATGTTCATTTCTCACATAATAGTAAAAGTTGGATAAGTTTATTTTTGAGGACTCCACACATTGGAGTGGGGCTAGTGACACTGCACCACAAAATCAATCGTGCTGCCAGAGAAACTTCAACAGCTCGAAATAGTGGTAAAAATGAAAATCAGATATGAAAAACAAACTAATTTCTCTCCGAAATTGGAGAGGCGAAATGACACAGTAGGCTGGCTGGTGAACGCACCACATTCTACCAGTCATACATAACCAACCTACCACGTCAATCCCCTAAGTATTTTCCGAGTCCACGTTAAGCGGGTGTCTAGAATAGCTTCCCAGAAACCTTCACTTCATTACCAAAAGGTGGGCAAAGTTCAACAATAGCATCCCAAGGGATGCGAATGCACGAGTGACCTTCAGCCAACCAATCACGAAAATTAGTGACTTTTGCACAAAAAGTGACGTATATTTATGAGAAAGTGCATGAAAACACATTAAACAGATTATAATTCTCTGACATGACTTAAAAGTACGTCGCAGTTATAATGAGGAGCGGGCGTAAAGAAGGTGATTGTATTAACACTAAGTCTTGGAAGACATTGTATATTGGACAGGACGGCGCGTTCTTTCGCCATTGTAGTTACAATGTTTCGGCAGGGTCAAGACCCCAATGGGAAGAAGTCTCTGTATGTTTGCGTACATTGTAACTAGCCTTTTACTAACACAGAAGCCTGAACAATGAATCGAATAAGATTTTATGGAAGTGTACTCAACCAAATTGTCAAGGCTTTGTCTCTCGCACAGACCACAAATGTAGCATGTGTAAGAAACCCTTTAGTTTCCCCAACACACTGACATCGATAAGTAAAGGGGAGTCTTTAAATGGAACTACAAATGATACACTACCTGTAAAAAGGCCAAGAACTATTAGTGACAGTCACCTTGTTCCGCTTAATATTTTCAGCATTGGAAGGTCGGGAATTTTCGATGGCCGTTCAGAGGACTGTTGCATTACTTCCTCTTCAATCTTGTGCAGAGTTAAAGTTGAAGGTATGTTATAATTTGTTTATCACTAATTTTGTAGGTGTTTGGACTAGCCTCAGTATTCATGCCAACGACATCGAGACGCTTGTATTCTGTGAAACTCTTCAAGTGTTATTTCTGAAGCCATACGACTCATACAAATCACAGCTCTCAGACTGCCTGAAGCTCAGAGACTTTGTTTTACGTAAGGTTTCGAGTGGTCATTCTACAAATTTTTAGTGTATATTATATGCACTTCTTTGTTAAACCTTAATGTACATATACTTTTTTATTTTTTTATTTATATTATTTTATACTTGTCTAAGTAGTCAATTTCCCAGTTAGCCACAAGTGTGATGGCACAAAAAGCACACAAAGCTTGACATCAGTTGTGGTAATTTGGTCAGGTACTAGCTCGATAATTGTGCGTAATAAGTGACTGCACTGACGTTGACATGTTGCTAAGTTGTCTTATTATTATTAGGAAGTACCCAGACAACTGAGCGAGTAGTTGTGAATTCGGTTCCTCCTATGAAACCTCTGTATTTTTTATTTGTCACCACCCCCTTACTGTATTTACCGCCCTTACGCTGTCCAACATAATTTTGTCTTGCCACTCTTTCCATGCTATATCAAAAGAACGTTGGATTGAATAATCTGTAGAATGCTGAGAATTTCGAAACTGAATCAACAGTAGTAGTGTTTGAAACAAAAACCATCTGTTATTGTTGTTATATTTATTATTCTCAGTTTGTACTTCGAGTATTTTTGACTTTATACCGTAAATGTGGACAAATTTCTGTGGTTCGATTGATTCATATTTCGAGTAAATCAGATTCCATATTGTGACAAATTCCTGGAAATTCTATTCTGTATTATGAGTATTGTTTTTTTTTGGAATAAAGTAGATTATTATCGTTACTATTATTATTATTAAATACCCGACTTCCAATTAGTCGGTTTTGGCTTTAAATCGAGGTTCATCCTGCTCACACAATAGGCTATTTTATTTATTTATTTATTTATTTAAACGCAGAAAAGACTTGGTACAATATGGCACCAAGAAAGATGCGCCACACAATATTGTGTGAGGGCTGAGATACTGCCCGGGCGCCCAGACCAAAGCAGGTGGTTTTCCTAAGGGACCACCCCCTGAGCCTTTGACTTGGAGTCTAATCCGCAAGGCAGCGGAGCAGCGTCAGGAGCTGCGTTCCCATGGTTGAAGGTGACCCATACGGGTTCATACGCCATTTGATCCGATTGAATTCTGGAGCCCATGTACCCCATGGTAACTGCTTTTAGTCTAACCACTATCCAAACAACCTTCCTGGCATGGTAGGACCTGCAGGGACATGAGTCGCAGTCAGTTTAGCTTGTTGGGTCACTGCGGCATTCAAGCCCGACCACCACGGCAAGGTAGCAGTTATCGGTCGGGACACAATAGGCTCCTACGTCCTTATTAGGAATCATTGCTAAGCTGATTTTTCAACATGGGACTTTTCACCAAGGTGCATTTATTCAAGTTGTCACGCTTCATGAAGCACGCAAATTTTGAAGAGCCTTCCCCATTGATATATTGTATTCCCATGGCTTTTGCCTTCTCGGGGCAAACTGATAGACTGCATGCAGAACTTCTTATGAGTAACATTCTTGTCTTTCTGCTGTACGAGTATTAGTGATATTTAAAGTGTACACTTGTTTATTCTTTGCACAGCTAACGTCAAATGGCTGGTTTACGTGTTTCGAGAACCTGCCACAAGCGAACCTCCTTATGTAACTGTGAGTAATCTTGAAGGTTTGGCCAACAAAGTTGAAAGAATTGGTGTCTGTGATATGCAGTGTAGCTCAGAAAAGGCTAGGGAGATTCTTTCTAGCTGTGGTCTTCGTCTCCCGCGTTCTGAGCTGAAAAGGACTGATAGAGGAGGATCTACTGAACCTTCATCAATTGTAAATCGAATTGTTCAAGACCAAGCTTCTGCTGATTCGCATTATTCTGTGGAACCTAGTTCATCCCAGACAGTGAAACATGTAAATGAAGGTGGCTTATTAACTAATGTGATAAATACTCTTACGAATAACGGCTACCAGTTGAAAATGAATTCTGGCTCTGGAACGCAGGAAAGCAACGTAAATTGTAGAGGAAACTCGGAAACAAATGAAGTAAGTTATAGATTATTCTGCTTATTATTTATGAGTAGTCCACATATATAACAACTGAGTTCTAAAAGGTACTCATTTTTAGCCGAAAAATTAGTGGGATAGCTTTATTTTTTATTATTATTGTATCCTTTAATTCCTACAGGAAAATACGGCTTCAGCCGTGCGTCTCCGTTGCGTTCTGTTCTCTGCTAGAGTCTTCACCTGGCTCCAAGTCTGCCCACACGTTTTCATCTCCTCTTCACATGACCTACTCCAAGTCCCCCTCACCCTTGCACTGATGACCAACTCGCCGCTTCCCTTTCGGGTTCCACTCAAGGGCTTGTCTAGTGATGTCACTTGATGGTTTGTTTTCTCAGAGTATGGCCTGTCAATCCATCTCCATTTCTTCCTGCCTATTTGTTTCACAATCGGTTCCTGCTCTGTTGGTTCGCTCATTGCCAGAGACCCCTCTTGCTGATCTTTTCTGGCCGACCATCTGATCTTGAGTATTGAGCGAAGACAACTGTTAATGAAGGTCTGTAGTTTGTTTGAGACGCTCTTTATGACCCGCTGGCCAAGTCTCTGATCCGTATAATAGCACTGACTTCACATTGGAGTTGAAAATCCGGATCTTATTTTCATTTTGATGCTGAGTGTTGTTGACCTCCACACAGACTTGAGAGTAGTGAAAGGTTATCTTGCTTTCCCGATTCTTGCTTTGATATCCTCGTCAATTCCGTCCGCCTGTAGTTGAAACGATGCTTCCAAGGTAGGTAAAGGAGGTTGTTTCTTTCAGGTTCCTCCCATTTATGCTGGCTGATTGTTATCAGTTGTTGTTGTTGCTGTTGGTGGTGTTGCCCAGGAATTTTATGGTTTATGCGTTTCTAAATTTTGAGAAGTCTAGTAGCTTGGAAATATTTTTAAAGACACGTTGATATCAAGCTCACAGTACTGGAGATAAATGTTCTGTGGCCCTTGTGAAGTGTGGTGTAATATGGTATAATATCATATGATTATGAGCACTAGTTTGTGCTCGAAACGTGGTCATCAGTTAATATTACTGTATAACACTGTGATTTATCAAAATCAAATCTTATCACCAGCGGAGTTATACTCTACCATCACAGTGCCCAAGTTTTACGGCTATTTTGAAGTTAAATGTAGTGCTAGGTAAGGGAGAGAAGTCAATCGACGGCGTTGTTAAGCTACACCTATTGGGATGGTTTGAAAACGTGTTGCATGGCGAACCACATTCTTCTCCTTACAAGCAATCGTAGTTGATATAGGGTTTTGTTGGAAGAGTGGGGGGGGTTGCCAAATGGAAACCCAAGAGCGATCGACGAAGACTTTGACATTTGGTTCTAGCTACATAAAGAGGTGTAGACTACCTGGTTGGAGTCCTCAGGATGCCTGGAAAGTATTGGTGATATGGCTCAAAATCGTTCTTAACGACGCAGGTGCATCGACTCTCTGTGTTCTCTCGTATCCATAAAGTCCTTATTTAAGTTTAAGTCTTCTTCCCTCGTAATCTTTTCCACTGCACTTGAAATTGTAGGTTAAGAGAGATCGGCTTCACGTACCGAATAAATGTTCCAGTCACTTTAGTGCTAGCGGCGGTCAAACGAAAACATGCCTTCACCAGTCAATGAAATCTACAACAGTTAGTCTAGGCCACGTAGGAAGGTGTAGACTTTCTGGTTGGGGTCCTCGGAACGGTAAAAACCAATGGTTGGAAACAATTGGTGACATGGCTCAAACTCATCGTTCTCAATGCCTGGCTGGCTGGCGCAGATGCATCCACTCCTTGTGACTTATGATTTCCAGTGAAACTGTTTTGTTCATCGTTATTACTATACCTTTGTCTCACACCTCTGTTTACTGTCTCTAATATGCAATTCTCCTACTTTCTTCTCTTGCTTCGTGTGCTACATGGAGTGTGGCGACTTGAACTGCCGCACATATGTGCGAAGTTCTATGTCGAAGATAGACAGACAGACAGATAGTGTATCACAACCTTATTGTATTGAATTGCCTTTTTCATCCAGTTTTCAAGATTGTGAATTTTATGGTTGATTATACGTGTATGAGTGTCACATTGGCTGGAGCATTCGACTTACAGCCTATCAGTCGTGGGTTCGAGTTCCCCCACCCCACCCCGAACCTTCTTCAATCTGGGCAACTGGGTAGTATGATCAGCTCTCACGATACTCACAGTTCAGTTTGGTAGATGAAAAATGTGTTCTGAACAACTGGGGTCGAACAACATAGTCGGACACTGTATTTTTAAACTATCATAGGACAACAGGGACTGCATGCAATGCAACGTCATGGTTTGTTTAGGTCAGCATTTAATGAGCTTTAGACGAGGAACTAACTTCACTCTTGGAAATACTATTTGTCGTTGAATTGAATTGAAAGAATTGAAGGATAATGAAAACTTGATCAACACACGACCAGATAAAGGATCCGGAATCGTCTTGATGAACAAATCAGACTACTTAAACAAACTCTTGGTGATACTATCTGATGAGAAAAAGTTTCAGAAACAGTCTCCACAGAAAGATCCCACCGAACAGACGGAGCTCCAGCTAACAAAGATATTGAAGAAAATGAAAGACGAATCAATTATCAGTTCAAAACTATACGAACAATTGCGCCCATCTGGTTCTACAACACCGCGCATGTACGGCTTACCTAAAGTGCACAAACAAGACGTCCCACTCCGCCCAATACTAGATATGATAGACTCCCCATATCATACAATCGCGAAATGGCTGGTGGAGATTCTCGGGCCGGTGAAAGAGAAGCTTTCAAGACACAGCCTCCGTGACACATTCGACTTTGTTGATTCAATTAAGAATGTCAATGTGGCAGAAAAGAAAATGGTCTCCCTGGATGTTATCTCTCTCTTCACCAACGTTCCATTGACAGAAACCGTTTGTTTCCTTTGCGACTACATTCAATCCAATAGCATCTATGTTGGTATACCGATACACTACCTCAAAGAACTGTTACTACGATGCACCTTCAACGTATACTTTAGTTTCAACAAGGAAATACACAGGCAAGTAGATGGGGTAGCAATGGGTTCTCCCTTAGGACCCCTATTAGCCGACTGCTTTTTGGCTAGCTTAGAAAACAACCCCCTATCATCAACTATCAACGACCTTCATCTCTACAAGAGATACATCGATGATACTTTCATTATTTGTGATGAGAATTGTGATTTAAAAAACCTACTTCAAATCTTCAATAACGCCCACCCAAACATCGACTTCACACTTGAGACTGAATCCAACGGAATGTTTCACTTCCTCGACGTCCAGCTGACAAGAAACGCCAACAACTCTCTGAAAAGATCCATATACAAAAAACCTACTTGGAATGGACAATTCATCAACTTCCAAAGCTTCGTGCCCCTAAGCAGAAAGAGGAACCTGATATACGCTCTTTCCTCGAGGATTCGGAAGATATGCAGCGAGGAAGTGATTGAAGAAGAACTGCGTAATCTCCGAAAAACCTTGATGGAAAACGGTTTCCCGTCCAGGTTCATAGGCAGAAATCTCAAATCTAAGACTAAGACTTCAGAACAAGTCCAATCCGTTCCAAAGAAAACACTTCTGCTTAATCTAGAATTCAAAGGTGATATCGAAGCAGAAATCTTTCGCAAACGTCTCTGCAAATCTTTAAGGAAAAAATACTTCGCCGCGAGCCTACGACTGACGTTTTCTTGCAAGAAACTGTTCAGCCAGAACGTGAAAGACAAGCCGTCGCATTGGGCCACCTCAACGTGCATATACTAGTTTACTTGCTCTTGTGGAGCTGAGTACATCGGCCGTACCATGCGCCGACTCGAAAAACGCGCTCGCGAACACTACCCAGCCTGGCTAGTAAAAGGAGACCGAAAACGTGTATACAGTTCAGTGACAGAGCATCTGGTCAACTCAGGACATTCAGCGCCTTTCGAAAAATCCTTCAAAGTAATATACAAGATTCAATCAAACCTATCAAAGGGAATCAAATCAAGACATCTGGGCATAGCTGAGGCGCTAGCTATCCAAAAGCTCAAACCCACACTTTGTATCCAAAAGAATTACGTCTAACCCCTCTCCCTACCATGGCCATCATAAACAGGTAAAATTTTTTTAGTAATGACAATCTCATCACCTTTCTTATCTAAACTTCCTGTTTATTCATGTTATTTTAAGTTTTCTTAAACCCTGTTTACACCACTATATTTTCATATCCACACTTCCTGTTTATTTTTCATTTTACTATTTCCACATATTTAATCCCTGATTGCATAAACAATTATTCATCACACTAGTTTTTTATCCAAACATCCTGTCTACTGTTGTTATTTCTACATTTCTAATCCCCAATTGCACAATGTCAATCTTCTTAGTTATTATAATGCTACTTAGTTTGAGTTTTACCCATCCCCCTGATTATTATGGCATACTAATTCCACATTGTAATTTTTATTAATTTGACCCTTAACCGGAAATTATTCTGGAACTTTCCCATCCATTTGATATAAATACACGAATGTACAGCCTAGATGATGACTTCGTCGAAAAGAAAATTTTCTTCGTTGCAATTGTCTTTTTATTTGTCGTTGAATTAATTTCATCAGTCGACAAATGGTGCATATAGTCGATCGATACCTGAGGATTAGTTCACTTTATTGACGACGACAGCAAGGTTTAGTGGAACACTGCAGTCTCCTATTTTTATATGGGTTCCCAGACTTTTTCCCAATTATGTGATTATTCTCTCTCTTTTTTTCTCCAGTTAGCATCAAATTTTCATTAGAATACTTAAAATTAAATTAAGTGTAATTTACTAAGTAAATTTAAATTTAAAATTTAAATTTAAAATTTAAATAATTTACTAAGTAAATTTAAACATTGAAGTATATATCGATTTATATATTGATCACATGTCCATTTATATATTTGTTCACAACGATCTGTCTAATTCACCGACTTGTTTTTTTTCTTCTTTGAAGTTAGACGAGGAATGTGACGACTTAATCATAATACATGAAGAAAATACGTCTAATTTGACTACTGCTCAACCTCCTAGTGATAATGTGCCAGCAGAATCGACTACGAATGGTGACGAAGAATCCTTGTAAGTGAAACTTTGTTTTTTGTACCTTAGAAAGCAGTTGTTAGTCATTTTAGTTTGCCAATGAAAAAAAAACTACACTAGTTGCCTGAGGTGTGATAGTTTGCCCCTTTCCTTAAAGTGTTTTCGGTGTTCGTCTCCACAGCCACTAATAACCACCTCAACCAACCCTTACTATCCAACATACTTTCAAACCAATATGTTGTTGCTAAATTATGCTCTCCCTCGACATTGAGTCACTATTTACCAACGTTTCACTCACAGAAACTGTCCGCCTGTATTTGTCAATACAGCTAAACATCGGATTACCGACGACTTGTTTAAAAGAACTACTGCTGAGATGTACACTCAATGTACAATTCACATTCAAAAAAGGTTATTTACAGACAACAAGATGTGGTCACAATGGGATCTCTACTGGGCCCATTACTAGCAGACTGCTTCATGGCAAACCTCGAGAACGGCCCACTCAAAAAATCAACTATTGACAATTTCCAACTGTATGTTAGATATGTGGACGACATCTTTATTATCTGTGATGACGGCCACGATCTCAATCAGTTACTGCAAATATTCAACAAATGCCATCCAGCCACAAATTTCACTCTTGAAACTGAAAACGAATCTAAAATCCCTTTTCTTGATGTTGAACTTACAAGGAGAGCTGACAAAACTTTAGAAACGTCCATCCATAGGAAATCCACATGGAACGGCCAACTGACAAGCTTCTACAGCTGGGTACCAATCAGTCGGAAAAGAAAGCTAATTAGATTTCTTGCCACTCGCGGCGTCCGACGCATCTGCAACTCTGATACCCTGGAGCAAGAAGAACTACACTTCCTGAAAGAAACCTTCATACAAAACGGTTATCCATCAAGATTCGTAGACAAAAATATCAAACAGAAGATTCAAAAGCAAGAGACACAATCCGTGCCAAAAAAGATGCTTTAAATGAACCTCCACTTTCATGAAGGTGACCTACTCAGTGACGTCCTTAGAAGGAGAATCTCCACCTCTTTAAGAAGAACTTTCTTTGCGGCAACATTGAGAGTAGTGTTCTCTAGTCGCCCGCTGATCTGCAGAAGCCCAAAAGACAAGATCCCGCACCTGACCACTTCTATGTGTATATATTAGTTCACCTGTTGCTGTGGAGCCAGCCAGGTACATCGGTCGTTCAATGCGTATCCTGTCAAAAAGGGTCAAAGAACACTATCCAACGTGACTGCAGAAAGGAAGTAATGGCTGAACAAGGAGTGCAATAATAAAACACCTCGTCAATACTGGTCATCCCATGTCAACAATTGCCTCCTGCTTCAAAGTAATCTACAAAGTGAAGAACAACCTTCCAAAGACAGTAGGATTCCGTCTTCTTTGCATCGCAGAAGCCCTAGCCATTAAGCTAGAGGAACCAGAACTGTGCATACAAAAGAAAATTATTCAACCACTTCTACTCCCATGGTAACAACTGTGTTGATTAGACTTAACTCTTGTTTGTATGCTTATTTTTCTACTTACGACTCTTGTGTAATTCCTTATATTATTTTGTTTCCATGTTCACGCTGAGTACAACTCTTTCATCAGAGTATTCATGTTATTACGTAACTCTTCTTTAACAATCGTTTGTGACAACTCATCACTTTTGTTGCACTACCTTCTTATATCAACATCGAATTCATCTGAACTTACTAATTGTAATTTCGTTTGACAAATTTAATGTATACACACACACATACAAAACAACCATATACAATATATGCGATTGTACAGCTATGAAAATGAATTCGCCGCGGCCGAAAAGAGACTCTTCGCTGAACTCCTACTTGCCTTCTGTCTATTAATGTTCAAATGGGAATTTTTCATGAATTAAAAATTGCTGTTTACATCTGAATTCTTGGACTCTTCACTAAGCTAACGTGATATGACATTTGACACTGTCTACATCAACCACACTGGACAACATCGTGTTTAAGATCTTTTCCGCTTATTTTTTACATAGAAGTATGGGATACGTATTGCCTATGTATCATTTAGTCAAATCAATAAACAGTTTTCATTATCACTATCGAGTAGTCGTGAGCGTCAGTTGACAGGTGTGTTACTGAAACACACTTACGAATGTTGTAGCATAGAAGTTTTTTAGAAGCATGAAAGGAAGCTTTCATGTTACACACACACAACTTATGGTTGTCAACCTTAACTGTTATTTTAACTAGTCACTCCAGCCACTAAAATTCTGTTTGAAGAAGTAGAAGTGCACTGTCTTCTCACTTCAATGGCTTGTTCATCATTAGAAATATCAGAGTGGAACTGTTCCTTACCGCCCGACCTTTTAGAACACAATTTATTGTTTCTGAATGTGTCAAGTGGAATTCCACAGATGTATGGAGTAACCATGGTGACTAGTATTATGTACGATAAATCCTTCATATAAGTATAAAACTTGGGCACTGTGGTAGAGTATAACTCCATTATGGATAAGATTTTATTTTGATAAATCACACAGTGTTGTACAGTTATATTAACTGATGATGTTTCGAGCACAAACTATTGCTCATAATCGTATCAAGTTACTCACACAACTTTTTTCCTTCATTTATATACATGAGTGGAATTCATGATTAGACATTTGAATACAAATCAGTAATATGGGATAATGTACATTCAGAAATAATAATAATAATGAGTGTTATTGATCCATTACATTTACATGGGAGATACGACGAGTGTTTTTATTGTCATAATAAGTAACTTGTTAGAATGTTGTGATGTAGGTGAATTGAATTGAAATAGAATACAATTTAAGATGATTTATTATCCTCTTCTGATTTGACCGGCGGTAATAATATCTTCCATACATATTTCTGGTATTTGCATTGAGTCATTTCTGTTGCATGTGTTGGGTGTAGACTCGATGAATAAGGATTCCGTAATCAACTTCTCTCTCCACCTACCTATGTTACTCTGTAGAATTTTAACCCTCTCCCCCCATGCTATTGTCTGGTTGTTTGTTAATGCGTGAAGTGCAATAGCTGAGCTTTTTTCTAAATTACTTATCTTTTCAGGGTTAACCATTCTTCCCTTAGCTAAATTCTTATGTTCTGACAATCTGACTACCCCTGACCTACTAGTTTCATCTATGTGGTTGACCTAACAGTCATTGCAGGGTATTTTGTAAATTATATTATTTTGTCTAATTGGGTCAACTGGGTCCTTTAACCTATAGAGCCTGTCCCTGAGTGAGTTTGTAGGTTTAAATGCCACCACCATCCTAATTCCTGCTTTATTTATAATCCTACGTAGGGCCTCAAATGTCCCCTCCTTATATGGTATAACTGTAGATGACTTATATTCTCTCTTATTTATGTTATTACTACTAGTTACACAATTATTTTTATTTTGTTTTTGGCCTTTACTGATCTTCTTAGTGAATTTTATGGGATAGTTGTAATTGATCAATAACACTCGTACTATTATTTCTGAATGTACATTATCTCATATTGAATTTTATTCCAATATCTAATCATCAGTTCCACACATGTATATAAATGAAGGAAAGAAGTTGTGTGAGTAACTTGATATGATTATGAGCAGTAATAGTTTGTGCTCGAAACGTCATCAGTTAATACTACTGTACAACACTGTACGATAAATTCTGTTTGTAATAATATCAGTTGCATGATAAAATGGTTGCACTATGTCTTACAAGTGAAGCAACCACAGCACTCAAGTTCTTCTTGTCTGTGTGTGTGTGTTTTATATTTCTTAAAATATTTTAGTCTGCTTATCCAAATATCAATGTGAAATTCAAGTATTCGCATCCGCAGATCCCCAGTGTATGTGTGTCACTTGAAAGCTTAGATAGATATTCTATCTGCTGTTAGCTGCTTGCAGCATTATTTTAGACGAATTATATGCCTGGCGAAAATGTGAACTGATAACTCGTTTTTCTTAGCTCTAGCTCTAGCAGAAGCCTCTTCAGTAGTGTCTTCATTTTTTTTATCGTTTGGAAATGGTTTCAGGTGATTAAGAGGCATGTTTTCTATCGTTGGGGGAGACAATTTTGGAGATGTGTGAAACGGGTAAGTTTTACACACAATAGACAGTAGCATTTTACAGAAGTCAGCGTCTATTGATTGCCCTGTGAAGTAAGAACTTGCTTACGATGATGAGTCAGTCAGTCAGTCAGTCAGTCAGTCAGTCAGTCAGTCAGTCAGTCAGTCAGTCAGTCAGTCAGTCAGTCAGTCAGTCAGTCAGTCACATGAAATGTTGATCAATACTGACAAATAAAGCAAATCTTGTTATCTACTGCGTATGTGTATGCGGGTTGTATTCAGTAAATATGAGTCTTTTTTTGTTGTTGCTCTAATCTAATCTAAAGATTTTATAAGACACACTGCTATTTGAAATTTCCTTAATTATTATTATTATTTTCAGTAAATTTGATTACAAACCTGCTGGATCTATTGATGGCATAACATTGACAGAATGTGATCTTGAGTGTCTCAAGCCTGGAGCTCTTATCAACGATGCAATAATCAATTTCTATCTGAAATACTTGTACTTCGAGCAATTGACAGACTTCCAGAGACAAGCTACTCATGTCTTCAATGTGTTCTTCTACAGTCGGTTAACAGCAGCAGCAGCAGGCGGCGGCGGCAATGTATCATCATCATCAGTTGATACGCACAACTCGACAGTCACAGAAGCCACGACAACAGAGTGAGTAGGTTTTTTGTTTTCTTTCAAAGGAGGAGGAGAATAATAATTGCCTTTCTTCTTTTTTGGTTTGGTTTGTGTGTTTCAATTCACCGAGCCGATGCCTTTTCCATCCACTCATCCATCTCTTTCGCCCGCCCACCACTTTTCGTGATCGTCACCAAGACCCTTTTGTTAGCGTGCTCTTTACAATCAGCTTTCGTCTTTCCCCGTGTTTGAAGCCTACCGGAATAAGTTTGGACGAAGAAGCGTCATGAATCCAATAGGATTTGCTAATCTTTTTAGGTTTAGGTTACCAGTAGTCCCTATCTCTGTCTTTCGACGACTGACTGAATATGATGCTAGGCTTCTTCATGATGAGTGTTGCTGTATATTTCAGATAAACACGTTAAGCTGTTTCCTCCTTGAAGAGAGAGAGATTTAGTGTTCTCATAAAGCCGAGGAGGAGGCAGGCTTCGTAGCTGCCTGTTTTCTGAGTCCGTTTAATCGTGGGCACTTACGTGCACAAACTAGGGCGTAATCGAAGTCTACGCAAGTGTCCCAGAAGGATCAGTAGTCTTCTGTCGACCCTCTCTCCATCAATAGTTTATCGTTATGCTGCAGTCTATTTTAGTTCGTCAATTTGAAGATGGAAGTCCCCTTCTTCTGTTTGAAATTAGTGCGGCGGACTAGGTACAAGTTGTTATCTGTAGATAACTACTATGGTAGACAATCACCGTTGTCGATTTCGTCGGTATACAACGCCATAGGTACCACTACCACCAATATACTTGTCTGACTGGCACAAGTTCCCTACTTAAGGATCGATGTCGCCTACTAGAAGGACTGCCTCCGAGCGTTTTACTTTTATCACCATACTGGACAGCTTTTGGTGAAACTCATCGTTTACTCCGTCCTACGTGGAAATAATTAAAATACATCGACGGGTATCTCAATCTTTCCTTCTGATGAATCCGTTAAGCTGAACAGCACACGACTATCCTCATCGGAATCATATCAAGTAGATATTTTCTTGCCCTACCACTGAATTCCATCTCCACACTGTCAAGTTCTTACGAACTAACCGATGAATCTTCTGACACCCGTCAGGTGAAATTTGCAGGTTCACCCTCTTGACATTAGGTTGCGTTAAGTGAATATTCACACTCAGGTCTTGCATGTGTATTATAGAAACAAAACATACATGCATGACTGGAGATGATGCCTGTCAGAGTTCTCGCTATTTATTGAAGCCTGTTGTTCGATTTGACACAAAGGGTCGTGCCGTTGAATGCTGCGATACGAAGCTGGCAGCGTGATTTTAAGAGAGAGAGACTATCAGCAGCAGTGTTTTTCCGGCTGTCGTCGGTATTATTGATTGCAGAGTTAAGAGTTGAGAGAGACGTGTCTGTGAGATGAGATAGTATCAACAGTAGGAAGAAATAAAGCAAGATAATGAAATTGATGGAGGTGAAGTCAGGAGATAGATAGATAGGAAGGCTTTGTGTGTTTCCCACCTGCTCACACTATGAAAGTTGTCTCCTCAAAAATGTCGTACATATTTGGTTCCCTTGGTAAATTTCGATAGATAGAGAAAGGAAGAGCAGATTTGCAGTATAAAATGATGCCATCATCATTCTATTTCACAGGTTCTCGTCAGCTAACTGCAAACCACTACCTGAAATTACAATGGTTATAAATAGTGATAACATTTCATACTTCAATGTTTGAAAGGTAATAGAGAAAACATTATAAGATGAAGGCATCTGGAATACAAGGGGGGGAGTTAGAGAAGACAGGAACCAGAGAAATCTAACAAACAGTGTATCTGATGAGGTTACCTTCAATCGCTTTTATAAATTTACATGCACCTGCGGCAGCACTTACATTGGAAGGACAGAAAGAAGGGCTTCTATCCGCTGTTTTCAGAGCATATTCCAAGAAACTTATGCTTAAAAAGGAAGCAGATATTTACAAAGTGCAATTCCCAGACACCCACCCTATGGATACGGGTCATTTTGTCGAGATTTCCAAATCCTTCAAAATATTCAACATACAAAGGACAGCGAATCTACTACGATTTACTGCTGAAGCAATTGCAGCAATCAAACGTTTTTGAGGCCAAACTTATGCACACCGAGAGAGACAGAGAGTGTGTGTAGTCAATCTCTCATTCCCTTGCTAACCGTATTCCTTCCATTACACTGATTAGTCATACACACCGCCAGTGAGCTCAGCTCATTGAGGAAGTTTTCAATTTGATGAACTTTAACCTGTGTGAGTTGCCATGTTGACGTACAAGCTAACACTGGTGATTAGATTTCTCTATTTTCTGTCTTCTCTCACCCACCACCCCATCCCCACTTTTTCCTTCATAGTTTGATAGCATATAAATTGATGGTGACTTAAACTAAAAATTGTAATGCTGCTTATATTCCGGATGCGTTCATCTTGTGATGTTTTCTCCTTTACACCTTTCAAACATTGAAGTATGAAATGTTATCACTATTTATAACCATTAATAAATGTGTAAAACTTGGGCACTGTGGTGGTGGCAGTAAGTAATTCCATATTAGTTTGTTTATTAGATGTATCACACAGTCAGTGAAACAGTATTAGTATTTACTGGATGACGTTTCGAACAAAATTTATTGCGGTTCATAATCATTTCATCAATTGTAATTACACGACTTCAAAACTTGAGTTTTATAGTTTTCTTAATTCTTTCCTATTTGACGTCATTGGGGTAGTAGAATTTTCCAGATATCTGGCTGGACAGGTGTTCAATCATTCCTATTACACGTGTTGATTTGCAGTTGATTCGATAAACAAAGCTTCCGCTGTTATCAATCTCTCCCTCGACCATTGTCATCCCAGGTAGTTTGCAGTTAGCTGACGAGAACCTGTGAAATAGAACGATGATGGCGTCATCCTTTTTACTGCAAATCTGATCTTTCTTTCTTTCTCTGTCGAAAGTTGTCTTCCTTTTGAGGTATATGGAACAGAAAGAGCATTTGTGTTACCTGACCTGACCGCAGAACGCAAGGGACATCTACTTCAGACGACCGGTCACACACACACACACACACACACGGTCTGTTTGGAGTGGGTTTTGGACTGGTGTCCGCCGTATTAAGATCTCGCTGGCGGGTGTGCGACCCGTCAGAAGGTGGTAGGTAAGTCAGAATGTGTATAATCCTTGGAGTCGACCGACCTTTATTCAATCGCACGTGTCTTCAGAGCAGAGAAGCAGTATAGCTAGCTAGCTGGCTTGCTGATCGTTCGAAGGAGGCACTTTGCTCCTGTTGTTGCTTCCCTCCCTATTGGCTAGCAGTACTACTTCTTCCTCAGAACCCCCTCCCAGCATTAGTGTAAACGACTTATGCTATGCTGTGATGGTAGTTGCTTTCATTTAGCCTAACCTCCATCCAAATAACCTCTTTGGTTTAATGGGATCTGTGGAAAAGTTAATTGCATCCAGTGTACGTTCGTTGTATTATTGTGATACACTAACGCGGCCACTATTTCAAGGTAGCGCAGCTATCGATCAGTATTTATGTAATTGATTTCATTGATTTATTGATTTCATCTATATATGTATACAAACGCTATCCCACCTTTGCTGATAACGAAGTGCCTAGCAGTTGTGTTTTCATCACCGAAAGGGCAACATCTGGCTGTACAAAGTGGTGTTAAGTGTAGGATTTAAGAGGTTTGGGGAAAGTAATGGCTGTAATGGCCGTAAATTTTACTGAAGATATCTTTCTACTATGTGAAATGTTGAGTGAGTATGTGAATTGCTTTACTACTTGCCTTCATATCAATACACGTGTGTGTGTGTGTGTGTGGAACATCTCATCAATTGGACTAAATATTGAGTGAGTTGAGGCTGAAAGGAATTTCTGCAAAATACTGGAGAGAAAAAACAGCAGCAGAATGTAACAAGATTATTGACAAATTAGTCATTGATATGTCAAGGAAGGAAGGAGTTGAGTGGTTGGATAACTCTTCCTCACCCTCACCCTCCTCTGTCATCACTTTGTTGTATCCCTTTTGGGGTTGTTATCTATCTACAGTAACTAGCATATGATGTATAAGGGATTCGATTCGATTCGATTAGCTTTACTTCTCATTTGTTATGTATTGAGAAATCACACATCTGGGCGAGATAACACGGGGTGGGGATGTTTGATATGGTGTATTTTTTAATTGTTTGACTTTTCTTTCATAGACCGAGCCAACTTCTTTTTTCAATGTTTGCTGCGTCTCTTTTCCTTCGTAGCAGTTGAAAAGTCCTCACTTTTAAGTGTTACCTCTCTTACTGGTGATTACAAATCTTGTCTAAGTGTGTAGTATATGTACAATTCGCCAGTTAAATATTCGTACACAGAGCGAACAATGACGACATGAATTTCATATTTTCATATTTTGAAACCTTCCAGGGTGTTGGTGTTGGTGTGTAAAACGGCTGAAATATTTTGCATAGATTGTAAACTGTAATACTTGCGTGTTCAATTTTCATTGAATACCATGCCTCAGAGCAGCTATAACTCTTTGGACTGTTCATCGACTTGTTAAACTACTAGGGATACATACACTCTGCTCCTGTCGACGTTTGAAGAAGAACTTAAGCCTGTTTGTTATTATTTTCACCACAATAGACTTCTCTGATTGATGATGAGTGTGTGGCATGACAGTGTGGTGTGGTTGTTGGAAGTTGTTATGCGTAAGTGTGCCTACATCACATCACAGTCAATGGGAGGGAATAAGTGGGTCGACATACCTTCGCCTTTATAGTTTTGGGCATTTTTGTCGCTGATTATGTGTATGAATGTGTATATATATTTCCAGCTGACATTTCTTTCCCTAATAATAATTATCCTTTCAGAATGATTCTTGCCCGACACGCCAGTGTAGCCAAGTGGACACGTCGAGTTGATCTTTTCAGTAAGGATTATATCATTATTCCAATCAATGAAAGGTAAGTGTAGGTGTACACATCAAATGGCTATTATTGTTTTGTTCCGTTAGTACACACAATATAAGCATATAAGCGTAAGTAATCTAAAGTGTTCAACTGTTTTCTAATAATAATAATAATATTTATACTTGAAGGCAAATCTGAGCATCTGGTTACTTATGTTGCATCTGGTCATTATTTGTGCCGAATCAATAGACGACGACTTCCTGTGGCCTTCAGATAGTCGATAAAATAGTAGTAGTCATAGGTGAAATGCCGTCAAAATGCGCTGTCAGAACCGCACTGTCCAATGCCTATCGCCTACCAACGATATAAGTAGTAGTGTAGAGAAGAAAAGACCGAGGAGGCTGAAAGGAATGTTTATTTGGTGAAACGTATTGTACATAGCTAAATTTGGTATACCGTATTTTCAACCTTCCATTTGCACATCATTTACAACATCCTTGACGAATTGGTCGAATATCGTCATATTCGATAGCTTCTTGGATTCTGCATCATATGGCAACATTCTTCTCATGGTTCTCTTCTCTGATTGCTCTTTCCAGTGTGCCAAACATATTATTACTTCGTTACTGATATACTACTTATATCGGATTATAAGTAGCACCCACCACACTCGCCCCCTCATTATAAAGTCTCTCCGCCGCCTTGATCGCCGCACAGACGTTTCATCCTGCTCTCCTTCAGTTTCCTCGTCTTGACATTCTTGTCTCCATCTTTGTAGCAGACTGACGTTTACTCTTTTCTCTTCATCTCCTCTCTTTATTGTGTACACTGGACCGCGTCTCGATGTGACCACATATGGTCCCTCCCACTTCGGCAGAAGCTTTCCTGATCCTGGTCCACTTCCGGTAGTATACTTTCGTTCTCTACATTTCACCTGGTCACCTACTTCAAACAGCTTCCAAGCTTTGATTTGTTTCTTGCTATAATTTTCGATGTCTATCTTGCGCTTCTCTTGTATATTCTGAATAGCTTGTTTCCGCTCACTTGTCCATCTCTTACTGTTCCATTTTTGTTGTTGTGGCCAAGTCTTATGGTGCACCGGTAAGCGTGGTTTCCTCCCATACATCAGCTGTAAAGGTGATTTTTTTGTTGTCCCTTGTACTTTGGCACGATGTGCCAGCAATACTAACAGTAAGTCAGTTTCCCAGTTGCCTCTTTTCGCAGCTAGCCATTCCTTGAGTGTACGATTATTCCTTTCGGTTAAGCGGTTCGTCTGCGGATGATACGGAGTCGCTCTAATTCTCTTAATACCCAGTGCCTCCAGACGAGTCTTGAACTGCTCACTTTCAAAACAGGGGCCTTGATCTGTCAATATCATTTTTGGTACACCATGATCCGCCACAATATGTCGAATAACCGCTTCGGTTACGGCCTTGGCGCGCTGATCTGGAATCGCTACAGCATTTACCACATCCTTGACGAATTGGTCGAATATCGTCACATTCGATAGCTGCTTGGATTCTGCATCACATGGCAACATTCTTCTCATGGTTCTCTTCTTTGATTGCTCTTTCCAGTGTGCCAAACATATTGTTACTTTTCTGAATTCGTTTCTGATATACTACTTATATCGGAATATAAGTAGCACTCACCACAGTAGTATCAAAAGACGCAGAGCTCTTTCACACACTATTATCTTTTTTCAGGAAATAGAACTGCAAACACACATTTAACCAGTGTAAATACAAGTATGAGATGTTCATTGGATGAGAAAAAAAGAAGCGGAGTTGGTTGTTGAATAGTAGTTGAACATGGGAACCGCCATCGGATGTGTATGGCCAATTGAGATTAGGCCTAATTTCTGTTTGCATGTGACAGTCATTATTCACAATTATTGATTAGCAATTTGTGTCCAGTGTGAATAGGGTGTTGCTTGGATACTTACACTGTCCACTACTACTACTACTTTGAATATATCTACACTGTAGTGTAGTATCACTTCATTGCAAGTCTGGTAATCTGTGTCGATCAGTGTGCATTGTGTGTGTGCTGTATGGATTATCCTTCTAATTTCACACCAATTGTGGTATATGAGTAGAAGGTGGAACTGGGTGGAATTATGTTATGTGTAGTTCAAAAAGACTCCATAAATGCGACAAACAGCGGGCAAAGAGGAAACAGGCATAAAATGGACTCACACAAAAAACTTGGAGGATCTGGACTTCGCCGATGATATATGTCTGATTTCCCACAAACTGGAAGATATGCAAGCGAAAAGCAACAAGTTGGTAGAAGAAGCATCCCGAGAAGATAGGACTTCAGGTGAACATAGAGAAAAAAGAGGTGATGAAGATTCCTGGACAACACCACCAACAGCAACAACAACAGACAACAATCAGCCAGCATAAATGAGAGGAACCTGAAAGAAACAACCTCCTTTACCTACCTACCTAGAAAGCATCGTTTCAACTACGGACGGAAGTGAAGAGGATATCAAAGCAGCGAGGATGGGGAAAGCAAGACAGGCTTCCACTACTCTCAAGTCTGTGTGGAGGGGATGAACAGCACTCAGCATCAAAAATAAAATCCAGATTTTCAACTCCAATATGAAGTCAGTCAGTGCTACTCACCACACGGATCAGAGACTTGGCGAGCGCGTCATAAAGAGCATCTCAAACAAACTACAGACCTTCATCAACAGCTAGTTGTCTTCGCTCAATACCACTCAAGATGAGATGGTCAGCCAGAAAAGATCAGCAACAGAGATCTCTGGCAATGAGCGAACCAACCCAGCAGGAACCGATTGTGAAACAAATAGGCAGGAAGAAATGAAGGTGGATTGGATTGTGGCCATACTCTTAGGAAACCATCAAGTGACATCACTAGACAAGCCATTGCTCGAGTGGAACCTGAAAGGGAAACGGCGAGCTGGTCGTCCAAGGGTGACTTGGAGGAGGTCATGTGAAGAGGAGATGAAAACGTGTGGGCAGACATGGAGTCAGGTGAGGACTCTAGCAGATAACCGAACGCAATGGAGACGCACGGCTGAAGCCCTATGTTCCTATAGGAATTAAAGGATACAATAATATATATATATTTGCATTGAGACTGGAGAGCTAATTTGTAAGATAGATGGATGAACAAGCTGGGCATCTCATCACGACAAAGTGAGCTATTTTTGTGTATGTCTTTGAGTGAATGTCTTGGCTGTGTGTGTGGAGTTTTGTGGTGTTGTGTTTTTGTATTTTAAACAGTGTCTAGTCAGAGATGTTAGGTAGTCCGTCACACAGGCACGCCTAGCAGTGGAATTAGAGTTTACTTCACTTCTATGTTCATATTCTAAGAATTTTTAATATATTTGTGCGTTTAAGTTTCTGTAGCGATTTGGTTAAGTTTCGGGGATGGAGTTGCTAGCACCACGCCCGAACCCTCCCTCTTTATCCGGGCTTGGGACCGGCTAGAAAACTAGTGAGCTAGAAATCTAGGTGAGGTGGTGGACTGGATTATGCGACAGACAGTGGGAAACGAGAAGACAGGGATATCCTGGACCGACTTGAAGAACCTAGAAGACGTGGACTTCGCGCGTGGATGATTTATGTTTGATGTCACACAAAATCGAAGACTTACAAGCGAAAACCGACAAACTGGTAGAAGAAGCAGCAAAGACAGGACTCCATCCAGGTGGACATAGACAAGTCGGAGGTTATGAAAATAACCAACCAACCAACCAACGAACAACAACAACAGCAACATCCAGCGCCAATCACCATCAACGGGAGAAATTGGAAAGAGGTTACTTCATTCACTTATCTAGCTAGGGAGCATTGTCTCAACTACAGGAGGAACGGACGAGGATGTCAAATCGAGGATCGGGAAGGCGAGAAACACATTCATCAACCTGAAACAACCAATCTGGAAATCTTCGTCACTCAGCAACACTCAACAACAAAATTCGGATTTCCAATACAAACGTCAAGTCAATCAGTTCTTCTATACGGATCAGAAACTCGGTGGCGGGTCACAAAGAATATTTCCAACAGTCTGTAGCAGACCATTATTCACAACAACTGTCTTCGCTCTCTACTGAAGATCAGATGGCTGGAAAGAACAAGAACCAACAAGAAACTATGGGAACAAACAAACTAAACAAGAACCAATCGCTCAACAAATATGTAGGAGAAAGTGGAGATGGATTGGAAACTCGCTGAGGAGGCCGCCGCTGGGTGACATCGCGCGTCAGGCAATCTGTCGATCTGTGTGCATTGTGTGTGCCGTATGGATTATCCTTCTAATTTCACACCAATATATATGTATATACATATATATATATTGGGGGGGGGATGATAGTCTGTAGTCTGAAGATTCTGTGGTCGGTAATATTGTAGGAATTGAGTCAGCTCGAGGAGATGGAAGTCATGCAAGTATAGAGCATATTTTCGATGTATTCTTAGCATGCATCTTTTTCGGAGAAACATTGATGATTGATAATTTTGCGGCAATCAATGTGGGGGTCGCGGGTGAGGGTGAGGGTGGGAAATGCTGCCATCCAGCAGGTAATCATTCAAATAAATTTAGAAATCCCAAGGTTGAACAAGAGATGAGGAGAAGTGGACCATTCCACTTGCACCATTTCTGAAATTGTTGGATTCCGCTGAATGTAGCAGTTGGTTTTTATTTCTTCCTGTGTGATGATTGTGATTCCTGAATTGTGTTTGTCTTTTACAATCAATCATGTCAGTCAGTTAGTGAGTCTATGTTGTGATGAACAGACTGGTCACTACTCACTGGTTGTCGTGTGTTTATTTTATTATTATTTCCACTTTTTTTTTAGTTCCCATTGGTTTGTTGCTCTCGTCTGTTATCCTTGGATGGCGGGAATGGTCAGTTATACAGCCCTGTATGATGAAGAAGTTTATCATCTGTGCCAATTAACCGAAGAATTCACTGATGTCGACAATATTGAATTCTCAGGGGATGCACACTCGTTGAATATCGGTGAAGAAGTGATTCAAAGGTTACCTACAGATTTTCAAGTAAGTAGTAGTGAGTGAACTGAACTGAATGAATGAACGGATTCTTTCTTAATGTTTAACAAAATCATTGACATTGTTGTCAATTCTCAGTGTTTAAAAAATTTGTCTCGTGTGTACAAGGTAGGTTGAGTGGCTGCCCCCCTTGGTTTCAATTGTTTACACTAATAACTGGTTGTGGTGTCTTGAAATTAGGAAGTATTATTTATTATTTCATTATATTTATACGCAGAAAAACTTGGTACAATATTGCACCAAGAAAGATGCGCCACACAATAATAATAAAAAAACATAGATTAAAAGTAAAAATATAAGTAGAAAACGTATAAAGAACTTCAACTGGAAGGAAAACAGTCATGTTTAACAAGTTCAAACAGTATTCGTTAACTGTCATCAGGAAGGGAAGAAAGAAGGAAATTGCAACACGACACAGATAGGCTAGGAATCCAGACAAAGGCGAAAGGCTGTCGAAGGTTAAGAAGTCAGTCAAAGTGAGCAAAGGTAAAATACAGGAAACTAAGTATAAAAATAAAAGTAAGGTTGGAAAGAGATGTGTTACTTGAGACATCATTATGGCTTGAAGGCATTGTTACGAGCGCGCGATAAGTTCCACTGATATTTTGTTGCTTTATTTCATTCATTGTGTGAGGGCTGAGATACTGCCCGGGTGCCCAGACCGAAGCAGGTGGTTTTCTTAAGGGACCACCCTCCGAGTGTAATCCGCAAGGCAGCGGAGCAGCGTCAGGAGCTGCGTTCCCATGGTTGACGGTGACCCATATGGGTTCGTACGCCATTTGATCCGATTGGATTCTGGAGCCCATGTACCCCATGGTCACTGCTTTTAGTCTAACCACTATCCAAACAACCTTCCTGGCATGGTAGGACCTGCAGGGACATGAGTCCCAGCCAGTTTAGCTTGTTGGGTCACTGCGGAATTGAAGCCCGACCACCACGGCAAGGTAGCAGTTATCGGCCGGGTGAAATTAGGAAGAGTCAAATACAGTAGTAAGCTCTGGTGTGTGTCGACGGAAAGCCTTCGGAGATCGAACAGGTGTTGACTATTGTATTATCAAACCGTCCATAGGTGGTGGTCTACACAGGTGTGTATAGAAAAACCAAGATGAAGGAATGTAGATTTTGGTGGTGGTGACATTTTCGATGAAGATAGTTCAACACAATAAGAGATTTGCTATTCCGCTAATACAAACAACCTTCTATTGGATGCTGTTTGTGACCACCAGGTGGCAGATTACAAATCTTCACCTGGCTGGCTGGATTCAACATAGAACTTGGCACCAATGTGCAGCACTTCGAGTTGCCACGTTCCAAATAGCACACAAAGGTAGACAAGAACATGGATGAGTGAAGAGAATCAATAGAGTTTTGACAAGTGTAAGAGTGAAACAGAATGAGTAATGGTAGAAAGCAATATGAAAGATTAAAGAGACTGAATACATCTGCGTAAGCCATTGACAACGATTTTGAGCCATGTCACCTATTGTCTGTCTCCAGCCATTGATTCTTAGAGTCCCGAGGTCGGGCCCCAACCCGGAAGTCTGCGTCTCCCTCCCTACCTGACTCAGTTTAACTGTCAGGGATTTCATGGATTGATGAGGTCATGTTTTTGTTTGATATGGCACCACTTACTCTTTTCCAACCTGCACCTATATCACCTAGTACTACCCGTCGGGAGGGGGAGGCGATGGTTAGGCATGCGCCTAGCCATCTCAATCTATGCAACTTTATAGCCTCTTCGATTGATCTTCCCTCTTTGCCCAACACTCTACGCCTAACGTCAACATTACTTACCTTATTATGCCACCTAACGTGAGAAAGAGATCGTAGATATCTATGATCAAAAACAGACAACCTTTTCATGTCTTCAACTCGTATTGGCCATGTTTCAGAGCCAGCCATAGAGAAGGACGGAGCGAACTGCTGAGCGGTACACACGTCCCTTGGTTGATAGCCGGATGTCACGCTTACGCCAGAGATGGTGTAAGTTAGCGAAAGCAGCCCGAGCCTTCACCAGAATTGACAATTTCAAGTATTCATTGTTATATATTAGCAAGATGGCTTCATTGTTCGAGGTGGTGGTCATGAAGATGACTTAGGAGTTTATGGTCAAGTCTTCAGCGTCAGACTGACAATTTCGCCTAATAATAATAATTAGTCGTCGTCTGTGGTCAGCATTATGTTCAAGGATGATAAAGAGAAGAGAAGAAGTATTGTCTCATTCGTATGAGAAATGACTGAGAGGAATGTTGGTGTTCTTCGTTCCATTTTTTAAAATTTTACTAACATCATTTAGTGGAAGCACGAGTGTGTGTGTGTGGGTGTATGTGCACGCTGAACAGGTAGGTGCAGAGGATATCCACAGTTCAGTCTGCGTATGTAAGGCTGGCTAAAAGATATGGGGTTGCAGCCATCCAGCCAGTCAGGAGTGAGAGAGCAAATACTCGCCGGTGACAGTGGCTGGCTGGTAGTGGCGCTAAAATCATGAAATGTGGTAGAACAGACAAAGCTCAAGTTGTACTCTACAATTGATGATGAAACAACAGCTTACTTACTTTGTATGCAATGCATTTGAGTCACGCCTCATCTCTGTGTTGAGCTTATTATTTGACAGTGTAATGTACATCATAAGGGCATCATCACTTTCACGATGTGGAACACGATTACCCCAGTGACTCATCTCTTAGTAACTCTTTGTTTTTTTACAGTTTCATTAACTTATCTTTTCGCTCCCCCCACCCGTTTTTTCCGTTTGACTTTTAAAAGAGATAATTTTTCTTGACCTGAGTTCTACTCACCGTATTGCGTCATCTTCTCATTTGACCTTACGCACCCAAAAAATTTTGATCATCTCTTATGCAACAGCCAGCCGAATTGTTACTAATTTGTGCTACCATCTTAACAACAGATTTGTCGATTAACTTTTCAAGAATCTTCTACTGTCAGAAATCAGCCAGTGGTCCAAGTAAAACGGTCTTGCCTTAAATCCCTCCAAATGCCAAAGTTAATTTCACCTTTAAGAGTAAATCCGACCTAAACAAACTGGTTGGCTGTCACGAGGTGTGCAACATAGATGGCACTGAAATAGAAACCAAATCGGAAATCAAATACCTAGGCGTCTTTCTATCTGCTTATCTCTCCTAGTCGTCTCATATCTTAGCGATTTCTAAGAAAATATTCCGTCTTACCTTCTACATCAAGAAGTTAACACATTCTGGTATAACCCAACTCTTACTCCTACAATTCGTTAACTCTTCCATCCTGCCTATTATTCCCTATTGTTTCTCCTTAGTTATTCCAGGGCTACTGAAGAAGGACTATATCTTATTACGTAGGATAGCAAAGGTTGTCAGCACGGTAAGCAACGTGCCACTTAACCAGCTTGTTAATATTCTGGTCGACAGGCAGGCACTTTCAATCATGTGAAAAATGGGCCAAATCCATTTTATCTAACTCACACCACCCTCTTCACTCATAACTCTCCCCTTGCATCTCATCAGGTAAAACCAGAAGCCTATATAGAAAACTATATGCTCGCACCAGCAAGTACAAAAACTCAACCATACCCTACTTAGCTCGTGTTCTGTTTGATAAAGAGAGCATAAGGCGTGATACCTATAATTCATTAAATAGTCAGTAGTACAACTGGACCTCGTCTCTCCAAATGATATCATTTATAGGTACAACATTTTCTTTCTTTCTTTTCCTTTTCTCTCTCCCTTTTTCTCTTTTTCCGTTGTGTGCTGCTTTGTTTCTTTCTCTCGCTTACACCAGTAAATATGACAGCACCTACTTTTCTAACACCTTCAAACACTGTTCAGCGTTGGCTTTGCTACCGACATGCCGATGTGTTGTTGTCATAATGAACTGTGATTTCCTTAATCTATGTAGAATTCTGTTTATTGATAATGTACTAACTGGATGCAATACTGTAGTAAAAATGCTGAGAATTCCATTCTGTATCACAAGTACTGTTTTGGAATAAAGCAAATTATTATTATTATTGTTATTGTAATAGTAGTAATAATAATAATAATTCGGATACCTTATCTATCGTCTTGGTGTTTTTTATTTCACTGTGTTGCTCTTACAATATGCCTGTTGATAGACATGTTGAAATTGTACACCGACTTATTTTATATTTTATTAAAGATTATTCCTTGTACTCAGTTGATGGATGGATGAGAACCGACGAGATAAGATGAGAAGCCATGTTGATTCTCCGGCAGTGTTCTTTGTTCTTTCTCTCTCTGCTCAAATGTAATGCTAAAATGTAATTCCAGTATATGGAGTTAGAATTTATTCATGGTGTGTGTGTGTGTGTGCATGTGGCTAAAATTGTGATCTACAAGCTTGTCTCGTAATCGAAAGTGTTCGTGGGGTGGTTCAAAACCCGTACTGTGATGAGTCGCCAACTAGGGGATGAAACAACAGCTGAGGAGTACTCACTCCGCGGCTTGCTTGCAATGATGATGATGATGATGATGATGTCGCTTTCTGACACTGTTGGCAGAATCGATAACTCATGTGATGTGAATGAATTCACTCCAGCACATCTTTGAATCTTTGAATGATTCACGGCTGCTCCTTGTCTGTGTGTTTGTCTGTTTGTGTGTTTCCGCTTTCGTTTATCCTCTAGTCCGTTTTGTATTTCCACTTGCTGTCTGTCTCTGTAGTAGTAGTAGTAGTATGTCAAGTGAAAACGATGTCCCTTATATAGGATATATAAAGAGGTATCTGTACCGATAACTGCTACCTTGCCGTGGTGGTCGGGGGGCTTGAATGCCGCAGTGACCCAACAAGCTAAACCGGCTGGGACTCATGTCCCTGCAGGTCCTACCATGTCAGGAAGGTTGTTCGGATAGCGGTTAGACTAAAAGCAGTTACCACCATGGGGTACATGGGCTCCAGAATCCAATCGGATCAAATGGCGTATGAACCGATATGGGTCACCGGAAACCATGGGAACGCAGCTCCTGACGCTGCTCCGCTGCCTTGTGGCGGGTTAGACTCCAAGTCAAAGGCTCCGCGGGGGGGTGGTCCCTTAAGAAAACCACCTGCTTTGGTCTGGGCACCCGGGCAGTATCTCAGCCCTCACACAATTTCATTGTGTGGCGCATCTTTCTTGGTGCCATATTGTACCAAGTTTTTCTGCGTTTGAATAATAAATAAATAACACTTTTGTTTTGGTTGATCCATAGCTCATATTTCGCATGGGTTGCTTTTACCAACACGATACTTGATAACTTACTTTGCAAATCGTTATTTGTTGACGTGTGTGTCATTCGATGATGATGATCCGAAAGATGATATTTATTTGTCTTGTCTTTAGCCCCACGTGATTCATCTTTCAAAGTTATCTACATGGCAAATTCGAATCGATCCAAAAGTTTACGTTTTCTTCACTTATGCATAGTCGAAGCTTTAGCTATCTATACATGAACAGAAACCTAAATTATTTGGTGTTCAAAAACGTTTTGTCAAGCTCCTTTCTTTACGTTGGTCATAGTAATGTTCTTTCTTTCTAGTTTTAACTTTATTTTATTTTACCACTTGAATTCTTTCCACTTCACTTCACATCTTCATTCTTATCGTAATCGTACTCCTAATTTTATAAAAATTTTTAGACAACACTTGACATTTTTAAAACATTTTTGATTTCAATTCACTTATAAAACAATCTCTTTGTAATTTTGTAATTTATCCACTTCAACTCTACCCCTTATAATACTTTAATTATCGTTATTCTTATCACTTATATATGTGTATATTGACTGAGCAATTATTAAGTGCCACTTAATAACCTTTTTTTCTATAATATAAATACGACTGTACAGCTTGAAAATGAAGTCGTTGAAAAGAGATTTCTTCGCTGAACAAAAACTGTATATTTATTTGTGATGATGGCGTTATATAATCTCTAGTAGTTATACATCTATCTCTTTGGATTTCTAAATGTACGCATAACCGGTTGTCGTTACTCAACATTGTATCCAACACTTGTAGATTTTCTCATGTTCAGTGGATAGAAGAGAGGAGAGAGTGTGTATTTAGCAACATACGATGTGTTGAAATGTGTTTTCAGTTGGAATTGTGAGATGAGCCAGCCCCCTTTCTGGGTATTGTACTTCTTGGCTGTAGTTGTTAGTCGGAAAAGTTTTGATTTGTGCACTGTTCGTTCAATAGTGGTCCACTGCATTAATTCCTTTCCTACCTGTTCATTCTCAATCTTTTCTTTGTTCAACATTATACTACTTGCCATTAGTAAGTAGTATGATTTTTACATGTTAATTTATAACAATGACATTTGCTTACAACTGCAGTTAAATTACTTGTTCTATTATCATTCATTCTATTAATGTATAGCTCTTATTTTTCTTCTCCTTAAACATTATTTGCTGACCTTACCCTATAGTGTATGCTTTACTATTGAAAGTTGTTTGTTCATATTTGTTTATTCTTTGCTTGGCATTCGCGTGCCGTTTGAACCGACACGTGGATCGACCTTGACACAGCATTGCTGTTTTTACTTATTGACTGCACAGTGGTTGTGCATTTGACGGCATTTAGCCACAGACACCTCACATTTTGAGGTTTGTACATTGTATATCTATTTTTATGTGATAAAGTACCGTATTGCAGAATATCCTGTATTTCGGACTTTACGCCTCCGTCACTCTACGTGTGGTTAAATCTATAGTTTGGATTATCGTTTCGGATTTCTTTCGGGAGAAATTCACAGTGTATGTGTATCAATGTCCATTTCGAGATTTACTTTTATCATTATTACTGTTATTTCTCTTAGAATTGACTGTGTATGGTGTATTTGGTTTTACAGGGTGAAGCATTTGATCGGTGGCGACGAAAACGTTTAGCCTGGCTTCGGAAATGTGGTATCAATGCTATGTAAGTTGTTCTATTATGTGTGTGCGTGTGTGTTGTAGGAGCCCCATGTGTGTATCCTGGTGCTGAACTCTCAATCTCCTTTTTTTGCTGTCGTCCTTGCATGAAAGTCACTGAATGTGTTGTGTATTTGTTCCTCTATTCTATTACTTGTGTAGAGAATTTCTCATGTTTGAGTCAAATAGCTGTGTGGTTATGTATATAGAGGTAGGTATATAATGGTGGAGGTGAGAAGAGTTTTCGAGCCAGTCATATTGAAGCAGAAGTAAGACTTTTCACTGCCGCTGTGTTCCACTGTGTGTGATACATCTATCTGATAACTAAACTAATATGGAATTACTTACTACCACCACCACAGTGCCCAAGTTTTCTACACACATATATATTAAGATAGATAGAGTGTTATTATTGTTCTCAATGGAGGAGCCATTTCTATGTGGGCACTGGCCCTATTGAGGTAGGGGGTTCCATTGAGAAGTCGTGACCAGTAGTAGGGTGCAGCAGGTCGGGTGTGAGGACAAATACTCGCCGAAGACATTGGCTAGCGGTTGCGCTATATCGTGAATTGGCAGAAGTTAAAATTCATGGACTGGCCATTGGGTCGGGTCCCAGTGGCTTAATGGTCTACGAGCTAGCTCGCCTTGTAATCAGAAGGTCCTTGATTCGACCCTCCGTGCGTACTGATGAAGAGTCCCAAACTAGGACAAAACAGCTGTCCAGTACTCCCCGTGGCAGGTTTTCCAATGGTTCTCTAACCAATGTCAGCTCATGATAAAATCCTGTCCAATCAACCAAAAATCCCTACAAACCAACAGTTGAATATTTTTAGAGGAGGCGGTGTCCACTGCCCACAGGTGGCAACTGATGCGCTGGATGACATTGTATTTCCGAATCTTAAGTAGGCTATTGTGTTGTGTAAAGTGTTAATCATTTGATGTGTGTGTGTATTGTATTCTCTTGTCATTAACCCATTATGAATAAAACATTTATGGAGGCACGTCGTGTATTTTCTCTTTTCTCTCTTACACAGGCCATGCATCCTACTCTTCGATTCGTATCCTACTCAAACTAGAATTACGAATTTGCATACTATTCGGAAGTAAGAGAGATTTATTTCTATTTTTGTCATATATCTGTGTGACTTTATTACACGCTGTGTTGTGTTGTGTTGTGCATTTACTCACTACTACATCTAGAGAATTTCTCACAGTGATATGCCAAGCCATTTAACTGCTCTTCTTTCAGGAACTGAACCACGCTCATGTTGGTTTCACTCGTGGAGCTGTAGACTGTGAACTGTGTGTGAACCGCGTTGAGCGCCCGCGTGTCAAGCCATACCTAGAAGTCGTCAGTCAATGATTGTGAAAGAAAATCAGGGGGGGTATAGTTGTGTGTTAGTTAGCATGGAATTATTAATTGACAAGAGTAGAGTGTGCTAGTCAATAGTCAAAGCAGACAGAAGAAATATAGAAAAGGCGCGAGCACACTCTAGGTGAAACAAGTTGATTAATTATGCCTTATAAAAAGATGGAAGCGTCGTGAGAGAGTGGTGAGTCGACCAAAACGTTTTGATAACAGAAGAAGAAGGTTAGATAATGAACAAAGACTTTTTAAGGGACAGAATGTCTTGCCGACAACCTCATTACATCAGCCCACCAACTGAACACAGTCTGATTGTCTGATGTAAACAGCGGTCGTCATACAGTGAATGAGACTGCAAAAAGTTGTCTCTAATCTCTGAGAACAAAGCAGACCAGTAAAACCTTATGCTGTGACTCCGAAGGCATTTAAAGATGATAGAAGTGATGAATTATTGGTTGCATTTATTGCGTTACAGCGTCAACGGTTTTTTTCGCTGATTGAACCTTGCAGAAAAGTAAAACAGTTCAAGTTCTGCACATTTCATAAGTATGCCAATCTTGAGAGAAACAGTTTGAAGGAACTACGGTGAAGAAAATGTATGGAGGGAAAGATAATTACAAGCCGTGACCAGTAGGGTACAGCAGGTTGAAGATGAGGCAGTAACTCATCGAAGAAGACATCGCGAAATGGTCGCTCTATGTCGTGAATTGGCAAAAGTTAGAATTCAAGGACCATTGGATCGGGTCCCAGTGGCTCAATGGTCTACTAGCTCGCCTTGTAACCAGAAGGTCCTGGGTTCGAGTCCCGATAGATGCGTACTGATGAAGTGTCCCAAACTAGGACGAAACAGATGTCCAGTACTCCCAGGTTTTCCAGTGGTTCTCTAACTGATGTCAGCTCATGATGAAATCCTCCATGTAATATACAGAATGATTCAGGAGTGATGGATGATGTTGGAGAGTGTATGCCGAGTGGATTGACCTGTTCCACTGCGAAGAAGCCATGTCACGTGACTTGCTTGAAATAATAAACAGTAGTCAAAAGGTTTCATGGATTGATTGATGAAGTGTTTTGCTTTCACCGCCATCAAATCTCTTGCAGATTAAAATCAATCATGTCATCTAAGACTATATCTTCTCATTTCTGCGGCTACCTGGGCAGCCTTTCCAGCTTCGCACATTCCACGTCCCCAACCTTATTTTTGCCTTCATCGAAAGTAGGCACATCGACTGACTGGCTTCCCGAAGGCTTTCACCAGCCTGCGTCAAGTCACTTCTCCGGTTACACCGAAAAATAAGGTCATTGTTTATCTTTTTAGAATTTTTAATATATTTGTGCGTTGAAGTTTCTGTAGCGATTTGGTTAAGTTTTGGCAGTGGAGTTGCTAGCACCACGCCCCAAACCTCCCTCTTCATCCGCGCTTGGGACCTGCTAGAAAACTAGTGACCTAGTAATCGAGGTGAGGTGGTGGACTGGATTATGCGTCGTCAGACAGTGGGAAACGAGAAGACACGGATATCCTGGACCGACGTAAACAACCTAGAAGACCTGGATTTCGCGCGTGGATGATTTATGTTTGATGTCACAAAAAATCGAAGACTTACAAGTGAAAACCGACAAGCTGGTTGAAGAAACAGCAAAAACAGGACTCCAGGTGAACATAGAGAAGACGGAGGTTATGAAAATAACCAACCAACAACAACAACAGCAGCAGCAACATCCAGCGCCAATCACCATCAACGGGAGGGATTTGAAAGAGGTTACTTCATTCACTTATCTAGGGAGCATTGTCTCAACGACAGGAGGAACGGACGAGGATGTCAAATCGAGCGAGAATCGGGAAGGCGAGAAACACATTCATCAACCTGAAACCAATCTGGAAATCTTCGTCACTCCTCAGCAACACTCAACAACAAAATTCGGATTTTCAACACAAACGTCAAGTCAGTCAGTTCTTCTATACGGATCAGAAACTTGGCGGGTCACAAAGAATATTTCCAACAGCCTGTCGCAGACCTTTATGAACAACGACAACTGTCTTCGCTGTATACTGAAGATCAGAAGGCCGGGAAGAACAAGAACCAATAAGAAACTATGGGAACAAAGACACAAAACAAGAACCGATCACCCAACAAATATGCAGGAGAAAGTGGAGATGGATTGGACACTCGCTGAGGAGGCCGCTGTGTGACACCGCGCGTCAGGCCCTTGCTCGAGTGGAACCTGAAAGGGAAGTGGCGAGTGGGTCGTGTCTCCAAGGGTGACATGCAGGAAATCGTGTGAAGAGGAGTTGAAACAGTATGGACTAACATGGATGCAAGTGAAAAGTACAGCAAAAGATAGAAGCAAGTGGAGACGTGTAGTTGAAGCCCTATGTTCCACTAGGAACCCAAGGGAACAATGATAATAAATAATACATCTAAGATTGTACTTGACATGGAAGGCCAGGCCATGGGCCATGAATTGGCATGCTTCTTAGCACATGTTCTAGTTATCTCAATCCATACAGCTAACTAGCTAGCTAGCTACCTTCACAACCACCTCGTCATCTGTTGGTGGCGAGGAATCCTACAGCGCGTCATCTTCCGTTTGACAGAGGTGAGTAGCATATACAACCTTGAGTAAAATGCCTTTTTTATCCAAAGCTCTACGTTATGATAATCAGTCAGCGAGCCGACTCGGTCAGTGTATCATGCCGCATCATGACGTTTTTTTTGTTCATTTCAGTTATTTGCAGGCGGAGTGGATTACTCGGAGGTCAAGAGAAGACGGCCTTCTACACTTCGACAAAGACACAATCCGTGGATTCAGTCCTCGAGTGCCCATACAGAGTAATCTCGTCGACTGTGGAATATTTCTGCTTCACTACATTGAGATGTTTTTCAAGGTAAATTTTATTTTTGTCAATTGCTCTTTTATTGCTTAGTCCAGTGTTCGTGTCTATTTCGCTATAAGAAAAATGTATTAGCCCGTTGTTGTGCATTGCATTGCATTGCACTTAATATTGGCATTCACTATCATCATATCGTATTCGCTGCGAAACAAAAACATTCTACGATGAAGTTCGTCGGAGGATCGGATTCAGTTGGAATGTATATAGTTAGAGATTGTATGAAATGGCAGTATCCGCGGGTGATGCTTGATTGATCGGTTGGTGTTCTTATGTGAATGGGTCGACATTTTTGTGGATGCTTATTCTGTATTGCGTGTAGTGTGCAACAGATAGGTGCGTCGGTGGCATAGCGGTTAGGACGCTTACCGACCATGCGCATGGTCCGGGGTTCGATTCCCGGCCACTGGACGCACTCCTCCCTTACCTCGCTAAGCCAGAACTTAAAAGCTGGTGGAGAGGAAAGGTTGGGCATGTGGCTAGGAACCATATTCTGTAAAATAAACACTGCTACAGAGAAACTTCAAGCTTCTAGTTTGCGGCCCTATGTTCCACTGGGGAACGTGAAGGATAAATTAAAATGCATCAAATATCTAAATATCTAAATTAGTTCAGAATAGAAGCAACCTTGTAGATTTTTGTTTCTTTTTTGTGTGTGTGAATTGTATGCAAATTCTTTAGTGCTTCTTCTGTGGACCCGGATAAGCGTAAACATCAATGATATCGTGACGACTAGTGGCCTCCGCCAAAGATGCCCATCATCCCCATTCCTATTCAACTTCATCATAGACGTACTAATGAACTTAACCCTAACACACTTCAGCGACTCAGGGATTGACTTGCTACCAGGGAATAATCTCGTCGACTTAGAATATGCGGACGATATAGTCCTTCTAGGAGAGGACTCTGACAAAATCCAGCAGAGTCTACTGAACACCTTGAGCAACAATCTTCGTATGTTTGGCATGTGATTCGCCCCTGTAAAATGTAAGATGATGCTGCATGATTGGACTTCACCGACCCCTAGATTAGAAATAGGAAGTGAAGTGGTAGAGCAATTACTTGGGAAGTACCATCAGCCAGTGCCAACCGGTTGATCTCCGACGAAATCTCAGCACGAATACAGAAGGCAAGTTTCGCATATGCCAGTTTACGCCGTCTTGGGCGTGGACGTGATATCCGGCTGGCTATCGACCAAAGGGCGTGTGTACTGCTCATCAGTCCATTCCGTCCTATTTTATGGCTGGCTGTGAGACCTGGCCATTGAGAACGGAAGACATGAAAAGGCTGATTAGCTGTCTTCGATCATATGTGTCTGCGTTCCATCTCCCGCGTGAAGTGGTATAATAAGGTGAGCAATATTGAGCTTTAGGCATCGGTGGAGTGCTAGGTAAGTAGGAGGGGAAACCAATCGACGAGGCTGTGAAGCAGTTACATCGACTGAGATGGTTAGGACATGTGCTACGTATGCCTAGTCATCGCCTTCCTCGACAATGGGCAATTTTATCTGACATAGGGCCAGGCTGGAAAAGAGCTAGCGGTGGTCAAAGGGAAACATGGCACCAGCCAGTGAAATCCACAACAGTTAGTTTAAGCCAGCCAGCCACGTAGGAAGGTGTAGACTTTCTGGTTGGGGTCCTCGGGACGGCAAAAACCAATGGTTGGAAACAATTGGTGACATGGCTCAAACTCAAGTTCTATGTCGAAAACCGACCGACCGATATCGTGAACTTGTTCATTTATTTGCATTTCTTCCATTCAATGCATGCATATGTTGGGGGGTAATTCGCCTGCTATGCAGACTATTTCCGACTGGTGGGTGATATATCACACAGTTCTAAGTCATATTTGTCTTGTTGTATGTCGTGTCGTGTCATGCATGTCATGACGTGACGTATAAATCAATGTATTCATTCCTCCCCTTCCTGCTCTTACTTATTGATGTACTACTCCACTGATCCATTTTCAGAAACCTGTACAAAGCTATACAAAACAATATTTTCAAAATGAAATGGCCAGTTGGTTTCCAGGTTCTACTGTCAGTGAAAAACGAACTCTCATACACGATCTCATGGTGAGGCTACGCGACAGTGTCGTGAGTGAGTGAGTTAGTGAGTGAGTGAGACAGCCAATGAGCCAACAGTTTTCTGCTTCAAGGCAAAGCATATTATTCTTTTGTTTTGTTAATGGGGCTGACCGACCGAGCATCCGGTCATTTTTTGTATATATGTATATATATGATATTAAATAGTGTTCTACTTCTGGTGTGTTCTTTCAATGTCGTCGTGGATTTAGAAGAACATTGTGTATGCCGCCGCCGCCCAGCCATAGATAATAAACAAATCATGCGATCTCAATTATTCTTTACTAATGTGAAATAATGTGAAAACAAACTCTTGTACACTGTTTTTGTGTTTTATTATTTTTGTTATTGCAAGGAAAAATTCTTTAATATTATCTTTCTTGACTTTTATACCTACCTTTTTTGATTTTTCCTAGTTGAAATGTAAATATCAGAATAAATGATTCCTTTGTGTATGTAGGTGGTTGGTTACACTTGTTGAAATTTGTACGGTTTCACTTCTCTCTCTCTCCGTGTGTGTGAGATGATCTCCCACTGAAAAGAAGAAGGCGGACACCTACTCACATGTATACGTGACGTAGGCCAGCCAGCTTGTTGAATTTAGACTTGTTTGATATATCCACTGCATGGATGGATGCATGCGTGCATGTACAGCCAACAGAAGTCACAACAATCTGATCACGAATAATGAGAGAAAACAGATTGTCGATGACATCTATACATCTTCTATATTACAATCTGTTTCTTTGTTCTCTTCAGCCATACATATAGAGAGGTGTAGACAAAGATAGAAGGTGATTGGCACATCCTGATTTGTCTACCGTTGGCTTGTCTCCATGTTTTACATGTGTGTGAGATGGGGAGAATTCCGACAGGCTTTTATGTGCAGCAGTCACTGTCCTAAAATAGTTGAATGTCGACTGTAATTGGGTGACATGTTGCTGCTAGGCTATAGAAATAAAAATGCACATTAGAATCAATCTGTGCAAGAATACTTACTAGTTCTCTGATAATTGTATGTCTTTTGGCTAACCTAGCAACATGCCACACTTCAAGGGAGTCCTGAATATGTTCTGTTTATTGCTTCGGTCAGATACTGGTGTGGAATTCCTTTAGACGTATCGCTCTTGAATTTTAGACGCTAAGATTTAAGCTTTTCGCCTACTGTCATGTGGTATGTTGGCTTTTATGAGTTGTAGAATGTCGTCCTCACTTGAATCACACCAGATATCGTGGAAATCGGTCGGTCGGTTTTCGACATAGAACTTTGCACATATGTGCGGCAGTTCAAGTCGCCACACTCCCTCCATGTAGCACACAAAGCAAGAGAAGAAAGTAGAAGAAATGCATATTAGAGACAGTAAACAGAGGTGTGAGACAAAGGAATAGTAATAACGAAGAACAAAACAGTTTCATTGGAAATCATAAGTCACAAGGAGTGGATGCATCTACGACAGCCAGCCATTGAGAACGATTTTGAGCCATGTCACCAACTGTTTCCAACCATTGGTTTTTACCATCCCGAGGACCCCAACCAGGAAGTCTACATCTTCCTACGTGGCTTAGACTAACTGTTGTGCATTTCATTGACTGGTTCCATGTTTTCGTTTGACCGTCGCCAGCTCTTTTCTAGTCTGGCCCTATATCAGCTAACATTGCCCATTGTCGAGGAAGGCGATGACTAGGCATGCATACGTAACACATGTCCTAACCATCTCAGTCGATGTAATTTCACAGTCTCGTCGACTGATTTCCCTCCTGGCTAGTGGTACTTCCCAAGTAAGTGAAGCGGTCAACACGCTCCACCAATCATTTCACTCCATATTTCTAAGCTAGGAGTCAATGTAGTCAAGTCAGTCCTGTAACATCATCTTACATTTGACAGCAGGAGTGAATCTCATGCCAAACATTAGCATATTTCAGCTGCAGGTGTTCAGAAGACTGCTGGATTTTGTCAGCGTCCTCGCCTAGAAGGATTATATCGTCCGCATATTCTAAGTCGATGAGATTATTCCCTCTGTGGTAGCAAGTCAATCCCTGAGTCTCTGAAGTGAGTTAGGGTTAAATCCATTAGTACGTCTATGATGAAGTTGAATAGAAATGGGGATAATGAGCATCCTTGACGGACACCACTAGTCGTCACCACTTCAGATGACAACTCGCCATAAGCCCTCACCTGGCTGATGGCATGAGTTCGAGTAGAGTGCTTTGATCAGTGCAATGTATTTTCTCGGCATTCCCCTTACAGCCAAGCATCGCCAGAGAACCTCTCGGTCGACAGAATCGAATGCCGCCCTTAGGTCAAGAAATATAATGATTGTTGAACGCCGGTAAGAATGGTTATGTTCTAGAATCTGTCGAAGGATGAAGATATGATCAATACACCCTCTTCCTGGGCTAAAGCCTGCCTGGTTCCCTCGTGTTCGCGCCTCCAGAGCACCACTTAGTCTACGCAGTATTATTGAGCCTAGGACTTTAGATGCTATATTAGTCAAGCTAATCCCCTGTGATTATCACAGGAAGACTTGTCTCCCTTCTTGTATATCGGGATGATCAGTGACTTACACCAACCCGATGGGACTTCCTCTGATTCCCAGACGCTGCCTAGAACTTCAGTTAATGCAGACAGTAAACTGTCTCCACCGTACTTAAATACCTCGGGAGTCATTCCATCAGGTCCCGCTGCTTTGCCTTGCTACAGATTAGTGACGGCTTTAGTAACCTCAGTTAAGGACGGAGGACCTGTGTCTATATCCCATTCAGGGAGGTGTTGGGTCAAATTTTTGTGATGGGAAATATGAGTGGATGAAGAAAGCTCAAGACAAAATTAGTTCATTAAACATGAGTAAATGGATGATGATTATAGAAGCGACTTTAATCGGGAGATTATTGTGTACATTGGGAAATGGGAGTGTGATGGTAGTCAGCGAATTTGTCAGGTTAACTTTAGAAATCGGATGAGTGAATAAAAGTGAAATGAAAGAACACGGAGGATGAGGAAGACAAAGTTTTGTGAATCATAGGGGATAAAGTCAGTGTGCTATGATAACGAAAGAAAAGTTGTGAAAATTGTTCTTGTAGGCGCGAAGTTCAACGTGTATGCTGTGAATTGGTGATTTCTCCCGGTGTACGCGAAACCAGTGCACTAGTGTTTAATCTTTCGGCGAATTTTGTGGGACGTTGAAGGATGTGCTTGAAAAGCCGCCTTTTCATTGCCTATCATACACCGCAGTAATACGGATGGATGGTGTATCCTGCTCTTCGAATGGCCGAAGTAGGATTTCTCTTCTCGTTGAACATCCCATGTCGCCTAGTCTGTAGCGTTGGAGCAGGGGAGCATGTAAATTCACATGGTATTAGACAATCAAGGAGACATTTCTCTAACATACAGATGCGCACGACCAATGGATGGCTTGAGTGAGCTGTCCGTAGGATGTGATGATAGAAAGAAATATTTCCACTAACGATCTCATCAAACGGCGGTCCTAAAGGAAATATTTCGCCGTAAATTCCGAATTTAATTAGGCACAGCACTTCCTTTGGTGCCTTATTCCATTGTGTATTTCCTTCGTTTAGCTTATTGTCGTCTCGACAAACGATGACAGATATTGATTGAGTCTCTGGTGTGCTCTCTGCTCAGGTTATCTAGGCTCTTCTTCACCAATACTGTCTCCAGTGCAACTACTGCTACTTCTCGGTCGGGAAGTGTGTTGACGGAGATTGCATTAAACTGCCTCTTGTATCGATGGGAAGAGAAGAAGTGTAAAGATTATTCGGTTTTGAAGAAGATAAAAGACAGATTCAGCGAAGAAAATGCTTCTCTATTGACGAAATCATCTTCACAGGCTGGCTTGGCTGTACAATCGTATTTATACTTACCTAAAGATGTATAGTGGTCTATTATTGAGTAATAGGGATGGGGGTGACATAATTGATATAATTACTCAGAAGTGGCTTTAGAAGTAGGAAAGAAATTAAAAGTTGTAAATTACGTGGTACTCAACGGCACAAAGATAGAAATTTGATAAGGAAGGTTAAAATTGCTATTGAGTGAGAGAGAATAAAGGTGGTAGTTGAGTGTCAATTGAACAAGTGTGAAGAGGGTGTGAAAATGTACAACAGGGAACATATGAGAGTGATAATAGTGAATTAATTATTAAAGCAAAAGCAAACTAAAAGTATAATTGAAAATGAAAAGAAAGAATCAAAATGTTTCATTAACAAGGAACGATTAGTGAAGAGGTTAAGACCAAGGTAGAATAAGAGACTGGACAAACTTTTTCTGTATACAGAGTTGAGGGTTGTATTGATGAATTGCCAGCGCCTCCGCCCCATACACAAAAGCCGAAACCTGACGCCCTTTGTACCATTTGGCTTGACTTTGTAGATGATGTTGAAAGACGACTCTGGTGGAGCTACGTGGCCTGAGTTCACCAAATACTCGAGAATTGAGCTAGTAATTGTCCCTTTGTTAATCATGCCAGATAATGTTCAGTGATGCGTTTGGAAAGCGTGCGCTTTGTTCGGGCGGCAGATATAACTAGTTCCACACGAGCAGATGGATTTATAAACACACATTGAGGTGGCCTGTCCAAAGCGACAGTTTGTCCTTCACACATCCGTTGATCATTTGTCGGCTGTAGAAATTGATACGTAGCTCAGCCATAAAGAAGGCTTTCCTCAGTGATCTGCATAAGCAGCGATTATTCAGTATCTCAGCTGCGGTTTCACCTTTAAATTCAACACTCATAAATAACAGTTTCTTCGGTACCGTCTGGATTCTTTCAGGCTTTTCCCTTGGCTTCATGATTTCTCGATAAATCTTGGAGGATATGCATTCTCTATGAGGACTTGTCTGAGTCGCCCCAGTTCGCCATCAATTGTATCACTTGAACATATCCTCCTTATTCTTGAGGATAAGCAATGCATCAGATTTCTCTTTCTTCTCAAAGGGACCCAGCTTTGGAAATTCGTGTACTGACCATTCCATGTTGGTTTCCTGTAAATCGATCTTTGAAGAGAACCATCAAATCTCCTCTTTAGAAAAACATCCAAAAAAAATGGAATTCCGAGTTAATCTCTTTTTTGATTGAACACTAGTCAGTAACTAGTGTAATGTGTCTAGTCCTATCTTCGGTGCAGACTGAATTCTATCAGTCATGTTTGCAATGTGGCCACCATGCTAGGTGGCTCGCCATTACGGTGCACTGTGAATTGTTGGTATTAGATGGTTGGAGGCAATCGGCAGGAAGCCTTGGACCTAGGTTTCGTGCTAGTTGGCACTCATCAGCAAGGCGTATCTGCAACCTTGAAGGAACTGATTTCCTTTCTGAGATTCGAACCCGCGTCACCCAGTGCTGCAGTCAGAGACGTTACCACTGAGCTATTCAGGCTCGCGACTGACCTCCTGTAGGACTGTATTGGACACATCACACTAGTTACTGACTAGTGTTCAGTCAAAAATATCCAATACAGTCCTACAGGAGGTCAGTCGCGAGCCTGAATAGCTCAGTGGT